ACCCTTCACTTCCTGCTTGCACTGAACCTGTAGACATCAACTAGAAGGAACGTTTAGAGTCTTCTCAGGTCTTTTCTCAGCCAACATCCTCCCCTGTGCATGCATGTGGCTTTATAAATTCCTCAGTCTATACCAGTGCTTTTGAATGGCATGATTTCCCCAAGACACTTTCCTCCTAGCTTTTTCTCTCAACCTTTCCTCTATGGCTCAAGTGTAATCTTTTGCCCCAGGCAGCTGAAGGTTGTTGTTCTGCTTCACAAAGTTTTTGAGAAATGCCCGTTACTTTTCCTCCCTGAGTGAGTTCCAAAACAGGAAGGGGCCTGTTGCGTAGGTCCTTCAGGTAGTTAGAAAAGACAACAATCAATTTTTTATTTTTATTTTTGAGACAGGGTCTCACTCTGTCACCCAGGGTGGAGTACAGTGATGAGATCATGGCTCACCGCAGACTCAAACTCCTGGGCTCAAGTGATCCTCCCACCTCAACCTCCCAAAGTGCTGGGATTACAGACATGAGCCACTCCACCCAGCTAAACAAAATTATTTGTGAATAAAGTCTATTCTGTTCCCTCCAGGGCCTGAATCCAGGATCCCACATTGGGGATGTTGGCCGCAATGTTTAAGACCATCACTGAGCTGGGGAGGGGGTGGAGCAAAGACAAGTAAAAATGGCTCAGAACTTTCCTACTATTTTTAAGTCACCGTTTTGTTGTTGTTGTTTGTTTTGTTTCTTTGAGATGGAATCTAGCTCTGTTGCCCAAACTGGAGTGCAGTGGCGTGATCTCAGCTCACTGCAACCTCCCCCTGCCAGGTTCAAATGATTCTCCTGCCTCAGCCTCTTGAGTAGCTGGGACTACAGACATGTGCCACCACACCCGGCCACTTTTTATATTTTTAGTAGAGATGGGGTTTCACCATATTGGACAGGTTGGTCTTGAACTCCTGGCCTCAAGTGATCCTCCTGCCTCCGCCTCCCAAAGTGCTGGGATTATACGCAGGCATGAGCCACCGTGCCTGGCCAGTTGCCTTTTTTATTGACTCAACATTTGCTTTGTTGTTGTGAACCTTTGACTATTTTTCAGAGTCCTGATTAAGTTTTTGTTTCATTTTTTATTGTTTTTACTTGATTTTTGGATAGTTTTTTTACTTGAGTTTTTGATTTTTATGTAGAGGGACGGACCCTTGGACCTACCTACTCTGCCATTTTTACTCAATGAGATTTTCCTCCACAGTATACTTGATTTTCTTTTTTCTGTTGTTGGTACTTTTAAAAAAGAAATAAGCGGATGCAAGTGCACCTTCAGTGATATCCTCTAATCCACCCCCTTTCCTCTCCTCCATCCCTAGGGATAACTATTCTCTTGAACTAATTTCATATAATACATGTTTTATTAAATGTGTACATATCCAAAATTAATACATAGTCTTGTTTTATGTTTTTTATTTTTTTAAATATACTTTTCTTTGTTGTTTCTTTCATATGATGATGATTTGTGAACATGTCCTGTTTGGTAATGATGCTTTAGAATTTATGGAAATTTTCTTTATGGCTTCCTATACATACATGAGTTTTCAGGAAATGTACTCCTCCAGGGAAAGGACCTAGCCACTGGAGCAAACAGGTGTGATTACATTCTCCAGAAAGCTCGTATGGGTCAAAAATGAAGTAGAAGCTCTTCAGCTATTCCTGGGAAAGGGGCTGTGGAAGTTCATGGGAAAGGAAGCCTTGCCATTTGAAATGCATACCCTGGATGTCACTGAAATGTTGCATCCACTGCCTCCTGCCCAGGAATGTTAGATCATTTGGGTTCTGCACCTTTCCACTGGTGGCATTCTAAGAAGAAAAGTGTGAAACATCTCTTGCCACAATTATGTGCTTCTGAGACTGCAGACGGAAGGGGAGCATTTGTAGCTGTGGGTTAGAGGATGAGTCAGTGCAGGCCCTGTGGGTTTGGAGCATGCAGGAGGGCCACCGGGAGCTTGTTACAATGATTCCGTCCAGGTAGAAGGAAAGCTCAGGGTGACTCCATCCAGTTGATGCTCTCACCATGTGAGTCTCTTACTTGAGTTTTAGAACTGGGCCTAAAGAAAGCCTCTGGGGCTGCCACTCTCTGACCTGCTGCTTTCAGGCCAGGGGTGTAGCGTGCAGCTTTTCCATTTGTCTTTGTGCCTGTGTCACTGTTGGCAGTGCTGATTTCAGAAGGTCACATTATATGTCTGTGACACTGGCCATCTTCCATGATGAATGAAACTCCCTCAAGGTAGTAGCAAAGAGAGCTAAGATGTATGATGACGATATGTGGTCCAAAGGAATTCAGAGTGGCTAAGGTCATGTTCTTGGAGACAGGCCGTGTCGGTTCAGATTTTACTTCTGCGTTTGGACAATATAGTTAAATCTGTAAGCCTTAGGTCAATATTGGAATGGAAAATAATGATTGATACCTTATAAGAATATAACGCAGTAGGTAGTAATGAGAAATAAGATAGTGCCTCTGCTTGGCTTAGTACATTTGTCTTCAAACTGAGGCATGCCTACATGTGAGGTGTATGATGACTTTTGACCAGGCATGTGGACATGTGGTTTTAAAGAGATAAATACCCAAATCCTCACCTTCTCTGTCCTTTTACTAAAACCTGATCTAAGAAGTCTCTTTGTGTTGCAGCATCATGTTGGTGCTGGTTCTCCTTTCCCAACTCTCCTCTCACAGTCACCCCACTTCCATTTCACAGAAGAAAGACAGTTTGTAAATGTATTGGTCATACATATAGAATGTTATATTTTGTTGCCCCAGGATTTGTTGTTGCCCCAGGGTGGGTAAAAACTTCTGGGGCCCCAAATAAAGGGACAGTTAGAGATGGCCTTGCATTAAGGTGAGTACACAGCAGCAGTGACAGCACCTGGGCCTGCAGGGAATGTACACTCAAATAAATTTACTCTTCAGCCCACAGTTCCTGACTCCAGGGGCGAGACACTTCAAGTGAGGTAAGGAGGAGGTTCCAGGACCTGGATCCCATCTTTTGCAGGGATATAATTCACCAGAGACCAAGATTTCTAGCCAGAAATTGAGGGCAGCTCAAGGAGAGACTCCAGACACAGCATCCTACTTACTGGCTATTTCCCAGTAACAGAAGAAAATGATCAAGTCCCAGGTGACTTTTGGTTTGTTTTATTCTTTCCTTCATCACATGATTGATTTCTGGAAGACTTTAAAAGTCAATTGAATTAAGTGAAAAAGTATAAATTGGTAAACTAGGATTTGTGCATCAGTAAATTTAGATTTTAATTTCAACATCTAGGCAAAGTAGGATCGGGACTATATTGTTCACATGTGGTATCATAGAAAAATATTTGGTCTTTGTCTGCAGTTCTTGGCATAGAGCTCCTAAAACCCTTGGAATTTTCTGAATGATAAGGGTCTTTTTTTTTTTTTTTTGAGACAGGGTCTCACTTTGTCACCCAGCTAGAGTGCAGTGGTGCAATCTCGGCTCACTGCAGCCTTGGCCTCCTGGGCTCAAGCAATCATCCCATCTCAGCCTCCCAACTAGCTGGGAGTGTGTGCCACCAGGCCCAGCTAATTTTTTGTATTTTTTTTGTAGAGATGGGGTTTCACCATGTTGCACAGACTGGTCTCTAACTCCCGAGCTGAAGCAATCTGTCTCCCTTGGCCTTCCAAAGTTCTGGGACTACAGCTGTGAGCCACTATGCCCGGTGCTCTTTTTTTCTAGTGAGACTACTCTCAGTGGACCCCTAGGTAGCTTCAGTGTGGAGACTGGTTGCCAGAAAGACCAAGCCTTTGATTAGAAGCTTGGAACTTTCAGTCCTACCCCTAATCTCCAGGGAGTAGAGACAGGCTGGAGATTGAGTTCAGTCACCAGTGGCCAATGATTTATTCAACCATGCCTGTGTAACATAAAAACCCCTAAACAGTGGGGTTTGGAGAGCTGGGTTGGTGAACACATTGAGGTGCTGGGAGGTTTGTGCATGCAGAGAGAGCGTGGAAATTTATGCCCATACACCACCATACTGTGCCCTGTGCAGCTTTTCCATTGGGTTGTTCCTGGGTTGTAAATAAACCAGTAACAGTAAAGTGCTTTCCTGAGTTCTGTGAGTTGTTCTAGTAGATTATTGAACCTCAAGGTGGGTTGCAGAAATCCCCACATTTGTAGCCAAGGGGCAAAAGTCTTTGTAACCTGGGGACCTCACACTTGTGACTGGTGTCTGAAGTAAGGTTGGTCTTGTGGGACTGAAACCTTAACCTATGGGTCTTCCAGGAGTTGGTGTCAGAATTAAATCTTGTATTTGCTCTTTCACTAAATTGGTACATGCTAGACCTTACCTATCCTCTGTATTTATTAATCTGTCTTTTATGTATTGCATCATTCTGCCCTTTTGTTGCATTTTTGGTAGTTTTTTCAGATCTACTTACCAGTTCATTGACTATCTCTTCAGTTAGGCTGCTTACATGCCTGATAATGTAAATATAAATACTTCAAACCATATGTGTGTGTATGGTTTTTGAATAATATTTTTATTTTTTTTATTATTTATTTATTTATTTTGAGATGGAATCTCGCTCTGTCACCCGGGCTGGAGTACAGTGGCATGATCTCGGCTCACTGCAACCTTTGCCTCCTGGGTTCAAGTGATTCTCCTGCCTCAGTCTCCCAAGTAGCTGGGATTACAGGCATGTGCCACCATGCCTGGCTAATTTTTGTATTTTTAGTAAAGATGGGGTTTTGCCATTTTGGGCGAGCTGGTCTGGAACTGCTGACCTCAGGTGATCCGTCCATCTAGGCCTCCCAAGGTGCTGGGATTACAGGCGTGAGCCACCATGCCTGGCCTATTTATTTATTTTTTAAGCCAGTCACATTTAGCAGTAGGGGGTAATAATACTTAATTGTCTCTTGTTCTTTGGACATGTTTTGGAAAGATTCTTTTATTCCTCCTAACATATAAAATACACTTATTTATTATGTAATATCTTGTAGTGTTTGGGGTTTCTTCCTGGTTGATTCTGATAGTGCACATGAAGATTCATTGAAGATTCATGGTGAATAAAGGAGTATGCTTTATTCATCCTGATATTGCTAAAATATATTTAGTGTCTGGCAAATATGTGTTCAAAAAAAAAAGAGGATTAGCAAGAAGATTAAATGATTGGTTCTTATAGAAACTTCTGATTTGTTAAATGATAGATAATTATACAATTACAGAATATTTTGCTAGAGACAGATTTTGAATATAGATAGACTTTGGAGATGGATTTTTGCCTCTATGACAATGTATTTTTTTTTTTTTTTGAGACAGAGTCTCGCTCTGTCGCCCATGCTGGAGTGCAGTGGCACGATCTCCACTCACTGCAAGCTCCGCCTCCCAGGTTCAAGCCATTCTCCTGCCTCAGCCTCCCGTGTAGCTGGGACTACAGGCGCCCGCCACCACGCCCGGCTAATTTTTGTATTTTTTTAGTAGAGACAGGGTTTCACCGTGTTAGCCAGGATGGTCTCGATCTCCTGACCTTGTGATCCACCCGTCTCGGCCTCCCAAAGTGCTGGGATTCCAGGCGTAAGCCACCGCGCCCGGCTGACAATGTATTTTTTAAAAAATCACAGCACCTAGATATATAGATGCAGACTATTTGGTGAAAATGAGCAGAACAATGTCCTTCACATTGCTTCCATATAAAAAAGAGAAATACTTCATATTAAGCAGGACTCTCTTATTATAGGAATCACTGACCCTGGAGGATGTGGCTGTGGAGTTCACCTGGGAGGAGTGGCAGCTCCTCGGCCCTGCTCAGAAGGACCTGTACCGGGACGTGATGTTGGAGAACTATAGCAACCTGGTGTCAGTGGGTGAGGACAGCTGCCCTGTGTCACTCAGAGAGTACCCAGTCAAAGGCCTTTGCTCTCTCAGCTTTCAAAAGCTGTGGAGGGCCTGTGTTGCTCTCAAGTGGTAGATCTGTCCTCTCCGTAGCCCCAGATAAAAGAGTATAATGTGCCCCCTTCAGAGGAGAAGTCCCTTTGCTTTGCAGACACATAAATTACATAGTTCCTAAAACAGAACATGGTCCCATGTTGATAGACCACAGCTTAATTCAGTAAGCCTAAGTTGTCTTATCATTTCCTATGAACAGGGTATCAAGCCAGCAAGCCAGATGCACTCTCCAAGTTGGAACAAGGAGAACCATGGACAGTAGAAAATGAAATCCACAGCCAAATCTGTCCAGGTGAGTTCAGGGTGAGAGCCAGCAAGGAGGGTAGCTAGCAAGTCACATGATAGTTGTTCAGCAGTGTCTGAGCTGTCAGGGCATCTGAGGCTGTGTGGACAGGGCCTCCATGTATCCCTCTCCCCACACAAAAGCTCTTTCTCCTTCAGGTGTTTAGAGGAACATCTACCTCTTTATCTCCTCTTGGATTTCATCACTGTTTATTTTTTATTTATTTTATTTTATTTTTTTGAGATGGAGTCTCACTCTGTCACCCAGGCTGGAGCCCAGTGGTGTAATCTTGGCTTACTGCATCCTCTGCCTCCCAGTTGAAGCAATTCTCCTGTCTCAGTCTCCCCAGTAGCTGGGATCACAGGCACCCACCACTATACCCAGCTAAGTTTTTTTGTATTTTCAGTGGAGATGGGGTTTCACCAAGTTGACCAGGATGATCTGGAACTCCTGACCTCTGGTGATCCACCTGCTTCGGCCTCCCGAAGTGCCGGGATTATAGGTGTGAGCCACCACGCCCGGCCTCATCAGTCTTCATTTAATCTAGGTTTGATTTGTTTTTCTCAAGGTTTCTTCCTTTTTAGGATTCTCAAATCTCATCATTTCTTGTTCCCCCATCAGAGCATCTCTACCTGTTCATTCTACTTCTCTTGCTGTGAAATTCCTCCTTCCATGTCTGTCTCCAAAGAGTGATCTTGAATATCAGCACTCTCTCCTGGCCACTATACCTTTCTGCCCCTTTAGATAATGTTGATTTTTTTTCCTAAGGTCTTCCCACACTATCTTGGACTCTGTGCCCCCTTAGTAACCTGGTCTGTTGCTTTGCATGTATTTGCTTCCTTAGCTTCTCTTTTTTCTCCCACTCTGAGGTCCTCCAGAGGTGCTGTTTTCCATTTATTTTGCTCTGTTCTCATATCCTTTAAAAGTTTCCTTCATTCTGATTACTTAAGTTCTTGTTCTCTATGGAGACTCTCAGATTGACATCTCCCTTAATATTTCCTAACTTACATGTTTGTACCATATTTTTTACCCACTTGCATGTCAACTCCTTGAGTCGACCTGGCCACCATAGGGCTACCTTGAAACTTCCCTGCCTCCTCAGCTCCCGTATTTAAAGTCCTTGTTCTTTCAATTGATTTTTGAAGAATTCTCATTCTCTTTCCAACCCAAACCAGATTACTAAACCTCACGCCTGCTTTGCTTCAATTTCCTTTTGGAATCATTAATTCTGCCCATTATTTAGTTTCTCTTAAATTATATTGCTGGGCTTATTCCCTTAAAGCTTTTCTGTTCTTACCATAGTCTGATGGCATTGAGTCCCAGTGAATCATAGCAGTCATATAAAATGGAAATTTCTCATCTGTCAAGTGATATTCTAGTTGAATCTCCATGATATGTTATCATCTTGCTTACACAGAGTTTGCTTTCCTTTTCCTTTTCCTTTTCATAAATTCAAAGCCAACTATATTTAAAGCGCTACATTTGAAGTAGTCTCCCCAGTGTGTCCCATACTTTCCTTGTTTCATTGCCTTAAATATTTTTGATAGCCTATTACATACAGGCCCTGACAGCTGTGAACATCTAAAACAACAACAGAATTCTTCTTGGAGATTACATGCTAAAAGGAAGAGGCACGAAATTAATCAAAATGGATAAATGTCTTGTGGTGAAAAATGCTGGGAAGATCAATAACAAAGCATAATGAGGGATGCTGGGAGTGGGAATGGGTCTTTGGTGAGATGCCTTTGAGCAGCTGTATGAGAGATGTGAGTACATCCCTCAGGTGAATTACCTTCCAAGTAGACAAAATAGCAGGTCCAAAGGCCCAAGGCAGGTGTGCATTTGAGGAACTTTTAAGGAAGCCTGTGTGAATACAAAGGAGTGAACAAGAGGGGCAGTGGTTGGAGATAATATGAGGTAAGGACAGTGTGATGGGATCTGGAGTTTGAGGTAGACAGGTCTATGACCTTTCAAGGACATTTTAATGACTTGATTTTTTTTTTCTTTTTTTTTTTTTTTTTGAGACAGAGTCTCTCTCTGTCGCCAGGCTGGAGTGCAGTGGCACGATCTCGGCTCATTGTAACCTCTGCCTCCGTGATTCAACCTGATTCAAGCAATTCTCCTGCCTCAGTCTCCCGAGTAGCTGGGACTACAGTTGCATGCCACCATGCCCAGCTAATTTTTGTATTTTTAGTAGAGACTGGGTTTCACCATGTTGGCCAGGATGGTCTTGATCTCCTGACCTTCTGATCTGCATGCCTTGGCCTCCCAAAGTGCTGGGATTACAGGCGTGAGCCACGACATCCGGCCATGACTTTTTAAAAAAAATTATGAGATGAGGAAACATGAGGGAGTTTTGAGTAGAAGAGTGACATGATGTCATTTATATTTAAAAGGATCACTTTGACTACTTTGTAGAAAGTATACAGGAGAAGGCAGAGGTTGAAACCTGAAGTCCACTAGGGAGGCTATTGCTATAGTACCAGACAGAGTGATTCTCTTCCACCTAGGTAGAGGGGGTGAGTGTTAGTTAGTTGCAGAATACAGGAATCCCCTGTTATCCGCAGTTTCTCTTTCTACAGTTTCAGTTACCTGCAGTCAACTATGGCCTGGAAATGTTAAATGGGAAATTCCAGAAATAAACAATTCTTAATTACATTGCTCACCATTCCAAGGAGCATGAAATCTTGCACCATCTTGCTCCATCCTAGAACAGGAATCATTTTTTTGTCCAGCATATCCATGCTGTGTACCCTACCCACCTGTGTCGCTTAGTAGCCATCTTGGTTATCAGATCAACTGTCAAGGTATCACAGTGCTTGTGTTTAAGTAACCCTTGTTTTACTTAATAATGTCTCCAGTGCTCAAGAGTGTGATGCTGGCCTATTGTTATAATTCTTCTATTTCATGATTTGTTATTGTTAATCTCTTGCTGTGCCTAGTTTATAAACTTTATTATAGGTGTATATGCACTGTATAGGAAAAAACATAACGGATATAGGGTTTAGTGTGATTCAAAGTTTCAGATATCCGTGGTCGGCAGGGTCTTGGAACATATCGCCCATAGATGAGGGATTACTATATATTTATAAAAGAGGACATATGGAATTTCCTGTTGAAGTAGACAAAGGGTGTGAGACAAACATACAAATGAAAGATAATAGTAAGGTTTCTGGCATGAGTGTGAGCAGGAATTAACTTGCCATTTCCTGAGAAATTTACCTTGTTTATACACTGACTGCTTTTATTTTTTGTTTTCTTTGTTTAAATTATAATGGTTTATTCTTATCCAAGTGACAATAGGCATATCTACTTGGAGTTTTTTAAACCATGGAAATAGTGTGGTCAGTAGAGCCAGCCTGTACAAAGCTATTTGTGAAACAGTTCTATTCCATGCTATGCAAAGATTTATTGTTCTCTTGTTTCCTAGAAATCAAGAAAGTTGACAATCATCTACAGATGCACTCACAAAACCAAAGATGTCTGAAGAGAGTGGAACAATGCCATAAACATAATGCATTTGGAAACATCATTCATCAGAGGAAAAGTGATTTTCCTTTAAGGCAAAATCATGATACATTTGACTTACATGGGAAAATACTGAAATCAAATTTACGTTTAATCAACCAGAACAAAAGGTATGAAATCAAGAAGTCTGTGGGGGTTAATGGAGATGGGAAATCCTTCCTTCATGCCAAGCATGAACAGTTTCATAATGAAATGAACTTCCCCAAAGGTGGAAATTCTACGAATACAAATTCACAATTCATTAAGCATCAGCAAACTCAAAAAATAGATAAACCCCATGTATGCACTGAGTGCGGGAAGGCTTTCCTCAAGAAGTCTCGCCTCATCTATCATCAGAGAGTTCACACTGGAGAGAAACCTCATGGATGCAGTATATGTGGGAAAGCCTTCTCCAGAAAGTCTGGGCTCACTGAACACCAGAGAAATCACACAGGAGAGAAACCCTATGAATGCACTGAATGTGACAAAGCATTCCGCTGGAAATCACAGCTCAATGCGCACCAGAAAATTCATACAGGAGAGAAATCATATATATGCAGTGATTGTGGAAAAGGCTTCATCAAGAAGTCTCGGCTCATTAATCATCAGAGAGTTCATACAGGAGAGAAACCACATGGATGCAGCCTGTGTGGGAAAGCCTTCTCCAAAAAGTCCAGGCTCACTGAACACCAGAGAACTCATACAGGAGAGAAACCCTATGAATGCACTGAATGTGACAAAGCATTCCGCTGGAAATCACAGCTCAATGCGCATCAGAAAGCTCACACAGGAGAGAAGTCATATATATGCAGTGATTGTGGAAAAGGCTTCATTCAGAAGGGAAATCTCATTGTACATCAGCGAATTCATACTGGGGAAAAACCCTATATATGCAATGAATGTGGGAAAGGCTTCATCCAAAAGGGTAATCTCCTTATTCATCGACGTACTCACACTGGAGAGAAACCCTATGTATGCAATGAATGTGGGAAAGGCTTCAGCCAGAAGACATGCTTAATATCGCATCAGAGATTTCACACAGGAAAGACACCCTTTGTATGTACTGAGTGTGGAAAATCCTGTTCACACAAGTCGGGTCTCATTAACCACCAGAGAATTCACACAGGAGAAAAACCCTATACATGCAGTGACTGTGGGAAAGCTTTCAGAGATAAATCATGTCTCAACAGACATCGGAGAACTCATACAGGGGAGAGACCCTATGGATGCTCTGATTGTGGGAAAGCTTTCTCCCACTTGTCATGCCTTGTTTATCATAAGGGAATGCTGCATGCAAGAGAGAAACGTGTAGGTTCAGTCAAATTGGAAAATCCTTTCTCAGAGAGCCATAGCTTATCACATACAAGTGATCTCATACAGGATAAAGACTCTGTTAACATGGTGACTGTGCAGATGCCTTCTGTGGCAGCTCAGACTTCGTTAACTAGCAGTGAGTTCCACGCAGATAGCAAAGTAGCCATTGTGAGCCAGCCTGTTGCCAGAAGTTCAGTCTCAGCAGATAGTAGAATTTGCACAGAATAAAAACCTTATGAATGGAGTGAATGTGGTAGTGCTTTCAGTGATCAATTACATCTATGTCACAAAAAACACACAGGAGCAAAGTGTGACTACATTCAAGGTGGAAAACCCTTGAGTAAAACCTTATGGCTGATAAGTATATACTCAGAGAAAAATAGTATGAAGTAGAGACTGGGAAAGTCTTTTATGGGAAGATAGATCCTCTCATCAGTGACCATAGATCACATCATCAGTGAGCTTATAGTTGGCAGAAATATAATGATCATGGAAAAGTCCTTGTTCAGAAATAATACCCTAGTAGGTATCAGGGGGTTTTCACAGGAGAGAAACTGTTGGAAGATCTTTGAAGGCTGTGAATGTGGCAGGGTTGCTAGTGGTACATTCTGCCTTATATTCAGAGTAGATCATAGAAATAAAACTATGAAAATAGTAACTAGAACATCTTCAGCAAAATATGAAAGAACACATGAGCAAATAAGTCCTGTGAAAAGGAATATTTTAGAGATTTCGATCACAAATCTAACATCATTATACAGCAGATAATATACAGGATGTGTATTTTAGGACAATATACCTTGAATCACTAGTTGATATGTCAATGACTAATTAAAAGGGGTTGTCAGTGTTACACATCATTGGTTAAATTTATAACACAATGTACCTCTTCCCTCTTTTTTGATATGAGTCTTCTATTCCCAACCAAGATCATTATATGATTAGCTCTTGTGTTTCTTTGATTCCAAATTTCTTCACTTGTTATTTCAGACTACTGAAGCTCTTCAAAAGGAAAAATGTATTTAATTTAATAATGTAACACAAGTTTGGATCTGTTTATAAATATCACCCCAGAGGAATGAAGTTCAAAACTTGTGAATAACCAATTGGCCATGCTCTTAATTTAGAAGGTAGTCCGCATCCTAACCCTGTGGTTTGTCTTATTGTTGGCATAAACACTATTCAGAATAGTTTGAATGATCTATTTTCTTTACCTGAAACTGTTCCTTTATGTAGGAACCGTGGATGATGGCAGTGGGAAACAAAGCAAAATTTCAAGCCAGCATTTTTTAAAAGCTGGATTATATGCACATAGCTATTCTACCCTCCAGCAGCTGTAGTTAAAAAATGCATATGCCTGTATCAGTTGAAAGAGACGTACAATATAAAGATCAAATTGTCCTGATAATTTCTTGTTCAGGGGACATATTTGGAGTGGGAAGGGGAAAGGACTCAATTTTCCTTACATAAAACAGGATACGAATACTTTTCTAAAAAGTGTTCCTGTCTTATCTCTGCCTAAATTATAAATTCTTTGATAGTTTGTAGGCAATTGTGTATACCACAGCAGATACCAAAATATAAATTAATTATATGTAGATTTGGAAGATGAATGAAGGTGCATGAATAACCCAGTGGACAATTGATAAAATTACTTTTGCCATTGAAGGAAAGGAGCAACCCAAAAAAAATTCTAAGGATTAGTATTATTCTTAAAAAAAACTAAAAGAAATCCTGAATAGAGACTCATTTCTGTCATAAGAGGAGCAGAACAGAGAAGGAATAGGATTCACAGAATAACCCCAATTAAAAGAACAAAATAACTTCATTCTCTAAAAATAAAGGACAGCATGTAAGATGGGTAAAGGTGAGATCCTTTTGGATATCTTGGATAAGAACCCTGAAATTTGTCTACAGATCTTTCACCTTGGAGAGTTGCTACTGTTTGAAAGATCCTGACTCCTCTGTGGTATGCTGAATTGGAACATATGATTTATCTTCATCATTCCTTCTCACCTGGGGTTAAGACCCTTGTCCTCTCCTGTACTCAGAGCTCCTTCCTTTGATCTAATAAAGATACATCCATGTTAGAAACAGTCCTGCTCACAAGGAAAAATAAAGTGGAAATTCGCTTAACATGGCTGTCTCACAATTGAAACTCAAACTCTGGGTTATTGGGTGATCACAACAAATAGTTTTTGAGCATCTGCACTGTGGCAAACACTTGTACACACAGGATACACTGATGAACAAAATATAAAGTAGTGGCCTGTAACAGGAGGGGTTCAGTACAGATGCTCTGCAGTTAAGAGTATAAGAAATGAACTCTTCTTCAACCTGGACTTCAGATTCTCTCTACTTCTTGCCTTGTGAATCAGCACATCCTATCATAGCAGTCGTAGCATCTTCTTACTCCCTGAACACATAAATCAGGGTGCACTACTGGGCTGCCCAGGCCTGTCCTTGGGACCAGGTGTTGAACTCACTTCAGAAGCTGGCATCCCAGCTAAATAAATTTAACTGGATCCTCAATTCCAGGCTGCCTCTTTCAAAAGGCATATCGCCCCTCACCTTCATAAAAATTGTAGCCGACATTTATTAACCGTGCTGTTTGCCAAATGGTGACTGCATTATTTTAATAATTTAAAAAATTTAAACAGTTGTTTGTTTTTGTTTTGTTTTGTTTGAGACAGGGTCGTGCTCTGTCGCCCAGGCTGGAGTGCAGTGGCCTGATCATGGCTTTCTGAAGCCTTGACCTCCTGGCCTAAAGCCATCCTCCCACCTCAGCCTCCAAAGTGGCTGGGACTACAGGTGTGTGCCACCACATTCTGCTAATTTTTGTATTATTATTATTATTTTTTTTTTTTTTGTAAAGGCAGGGTCTTGCTATATTCCCCAGGCTGGTCTCAACTCCTGGGCATAAGTGATCCTCCCAACTTAGCCTCCCAAATTGCTGGGATTACAGGTTTGAGCCATGGCACCCGGCCTCTTTAGTAATTTAACGCTCTTATATGCTCCATTTCCATCTTCATGTGTTTTAGGGAAATATTTGATTAAATTTGAGGCCTCATTCCTTTTTCCTTATTACAGGTAACCACACACTGTATGCAGTTGCACGTGGGCATTGATCCTTATAGAGATCGCCCCCGTATTTGGCTTCAAGACAATTCTCGGCTAGACTAGCCTTGCCCATTCTTTTCTGCATCCCTTGAAGGAGATTCACAATGTCCACAAATTTGGTCCACTCTGTGACCGCTGTCCCCCTATTCCCCTTCAGCCAATTCGCCTTTGGCACACCTTGTTGGTCCTGAAGAGGCCCTCAGAAATACGATTCCGGCCTAAACTCCCAACAGATTGTATTTTCTGTTGAATGGAAACTGACACCTCCTAAAATGAACTGCAGCCATGATGCTTCTTCCTAACGGCTCAGTATGGAGTAGAGCGCGCGGCCATCTTATTTTTTTTGCTCCGTGTGTTAAAAGTTTTTATAATTTTCTGATAATTTATCCAGTTTGCGCAGTGACTGAGGTGCCCTGAAATTAATTCACGGTCTTCCAACGCGGTGGTAACAGCCCTTCCGGGTTCTCTGGTGGGAGGCGCCGAGATGGGCGTGGCCATGATACGTCACAATGCGAGGCCGAGGGAGGAACTCTGACGTCTGGGAAGGCCTGGTTTCCCGACCAGATGCCGAGGGCCCTCAAAGTCCCTACCAACGGCTGTGGAGGGAGATGGAAGTCGTTTTGGACGCAGGCTCAGTGTTTGGTCCCAGCGTTAGGTGGAGTCCGGAGAGACTCAGGATCAGATGGGTTGGGGTCTGGATGTGGCTCTAAGTGAAAGGCCTGTGGGGGTCAATGAAGGGGAGCCCCCTGTTCTGAGACCATGTGGGACCCTGCGGCCTGGGGTTCTCCCTGGGTTTACTCATTGGAGAAGACTGGCTTTGGTGATAGGGCTCCTGGTGGTCAGTAATTAAGAGACTGGAAGATATTAACGATCGATAGCCCAACTGTCAAGGTTTATGGTCGTTGAGGGAATGCCGTGGGAATCAGTGGTTGAGAAACGGAGTAGGAAAGTGTGTGTCAATGAATGACCTTGGTGTCCAGTCTGGGTTTGCAATTTAATGTGATAGAGAAGCTTGGGGCTGGAGGTTTTAGTGAAAGAGGTTTCAGATTTAATTTGGAGTCAATGTTTGAGGAGGCCTGTACATGTCTGTGGTTTAGGGGCCTGAGGAGGCTGGAGCTTTGCAGGCCGAAGGGCCCTGGAGAGTGGGTGGGTTGAGGCTTAATAATTGACTGCTGGTTACAGTCGTGATTAAAGCTACATTTACGTAGTGGAGCTACATGCAGTTCAGTTCTTCAAGTCTAAGTCTGTCTTAAAAATAACAGTGAAAAACATTTCCCTTCCTATATTCATATCACTGTCTACAAATTTCTGGGCGAGGTGATTATGAGTTTGCTACTAAAGTCGACTTTTTTTTCTCTCTAGTTCCCAACTTTACCGTGTCGTTTCATAAATATTTTCTTTCAGATTTATTCCAACACAAGAAAAAAATCTCTATTACCCAAACTTCTGATTCTTATTGAGGAACATTTTTTTTTGTTGTTTCTTACTACAGTTTTCACAATTGCAATACTTTGGGTAAATATTTGATTTCATCACTTAAATTCTCATCACATACATACATGTATGTATGTATATATAGTATATAGCTCTCTCTCTATATATATATATCTATGTATCTATGTATCTATCTATCTATCTATCTATCTATCTATCTATCTATCTATCCATCCATCCAGAGGGAATCAGTCTTGCCCTGTCTCCCAGGCTGGACTACAGTGGTGCCATCAGCTCACTGTAACCTTCAGCTCCTAAGCTTAAGGGATCCTCCTGGCTCAGCCTCCCAAGTAGCTGGGACTACATATAAAATTTTTCAATGGCTGTATCATATCAGAAGGTTGTACCAGTGGCTTAGTAAATGGAGTCACATTAAATGTTTGCCTTAATTAGGATGGAATTGACAAGTATAAAATATTCAATTCTATTTCTATATTTTCTCTATATATATAACATTCTTATTCTCTAATTACCCAAGTTCTTCCATTCCCACCCCAAGATTTGTGGCTCACTTTTTTATGTCCTAGACCTTATGGTTACATTTATTCTTAAGTAGCTTATACTGTTTTTTCATAATTCCTCTAGAAGAGGAAGTCATTTTTTAAAAAATTGAGACAGAGTCTCACACTGTTGCC